AAAATTTAACCCCATATTGGTTAAATTTAACCAGGATGTTTTTAGAGTGTAGGAAAAGAAAATTAAAAGGTAGGTTTAATCATTAGTTAGATTGATATGTGAGAGGTCTTAGACTTTTACATCAAAATTATTGAGTGGAACTTTATAAACATTTATTAGATCTAATCAGGAATGACTGTGAGAAAAGCAACTATCGGTCACTGGCAGGAATTGAACCTGCAGGCACGCGGCAGTGCTGGACTAAGGCATGTTCATGCATTACTGTATATTACATATATACTAATTAAGGTACTATATACATATATAATACTAAAAATGTACTGCCATGACCCTAACCCATAAAAGAGCTCGACAACTGGCCTCTGTCGGTTAGAGTGCTGCACTGGAATCGCAGGTCTAATTCCGGCCAGGGACCTACAGTTGCTTTTTTTCATAGTTGTTCCTTGTTTTGGTATTAATAATAAGTGTCTATAAATTTCCACTCGACAATTTCCATGTCCAAGACCCTTCAACTATTATAATGAGTGGGATGCCAACAGAATCTCTCAGAATAATATATAGGCCTAGTGTCCTAAACAACTGAGCTACAGTACAGAGTCCAAATGTCGAGCTCTAACCACAAGTATATATACTGGTTACTGCCTTGTCAACGTATCAGTAAATATTAATATGTTTTAAAGGTTATAGGTTTCAATTTTGGTATTTAGCAATACTAACACAGCAGTACCCAAGTATACACACATGAATTCCAGCTTGACAACTGGACTCTGTAGCTCAGTTTTGTTGGTTAGAATGCTGCAATTGCACCAGGATTGCAGGGCCGCAGGGACGATTCTAGCCAGAGGACACAATAATATTCAAAGTGTGTGAGCAACTAGCAGTCGGGATGTACCTTTCATATACCATGCTACTTTCTGGGAGTTTATTAATTTTGTCTACCACAGTACTTATTGAACTTGAAGCTAATTGTGGGTTGGCTTTAAATAGTATACAGTTTATACTGTTTAATATTTAAAAATAGATATGCTATAAGTGATATAAAACAAACTATTATCTAGTCTAATGGGTTAGCATATTTGCAATTACAATTTTGCAAATATGCTAACCCATTAGACTAGATAATAGTTTGTTTTATATCACTTATAGCATATCTATTTTTAATTATTAAACTATAAACTGTATACTATTTAAAGCCAACCCAATTGTGAGCTTCAAGTTCAATAAGTACTGTGGTAGACAAAAATTGTGCGCGAATATAAATTTATCATCATGACAAGAATAAACCTGTGTATAGTACGACCAAGATGGGCTCAGTTCATAATATGAAGATATATATTGAATAAAAGACCATGATAAATCAGAAACTCGATTACAAAAAATACAAGAGATATGTAAAACCTTTCTTACCTTGGAATCTAATCGCTTAAGCTCCTGAGCTGTACATAGTGCATTTTTGTTCTCCTCTTCAACTGCCAACAGCCTAACTGTGTCTTTCGCATATACTTTCCAACATCGAATATTTTATTGCGTGCATGCCTTTGTAAAAGGTATAATATTATCTTTTCTAGCACATTTTGTCAAAAACAAAAAACATACGATTTTTAATAGGTATCTTGACTTGTATTGGATTCAAAAATAAAATGAAAATAACACTGTAGAAAGAATCCTATACAAGCCGAAGTTGTTGCATTTTGACAACATGATGCGAAAGTCGCCATTTCCCTCAAATGCCTCGAACAACAAGCGCTCCTGTGGCAAAACATTCCGCGTAACCATGGTAATCTTGATATCATTTTGATCCCCGAGACACGCTCTGTTTCCCTGTTTACCTTAAATAACCCTCAAGGAAAACGCGCACAAGCAAGCGCTCGTGGAATTTGAGGAATTTTTCAATTATCAAATTCGCTACCAAGCTCCCAAAATTGTCGCGCGGCAACGAAAAAAATGACACATTTTAATGTGCAATTTCGCGTGCAAAAATGCCAGGCGTGACACCCCCTAAGAAAATAAAGAAATGTTATTTATATCAATAGATTGATGTGAATTATGTATTAATTATTTAATGCCCAGCTGTTATCCAAGATCTAAGGCTTGGAAAAGAGTCTTGGCCAGGCAGGCCAGCCCAAGAGGAAAGAAGGTTTATATAACTAAGACATATTGGTAGGTAGTGATGCCAGATTACTTTAAATTTCTATTGTCTGCCTGGTCAAGTATAAAATATCCCTGAATCTCCAGTAGTTCAGTTGCTAATTAATGGCAGCTCAAATAGGATTAGAGCTTCAGGTGATGATGGATCATGACAATTTGTTGTATTTAATATTTTTTTACACATTTAAACCTCAAATGGATCGATCAATTAATGTTTCTAGGTGGCATGACTTTGAGATTTGCTTGTGTGAATATAGTTTTTTGCTCAGCTGCTTTAATTGTTCCAGCACGCCCATGCTTGCCTCAACAGTCTCACAGAAATTGAAAAACCAAGCTAGGCGGTTGTTATATTGTAGCTGTAATAATTGGGGCTATGTCCTGTGCAGCCACCATTTGCTAATGTAAATACTTAAATAACAATAAAGTAATTAAAGAAATATAGCTAATCTAGGTTGGGTTAACTCCATATAAACAGACAAAAAGTAGCCTGACTGTCAGAGAGTGAAAGCCATCTTCCAAAAGTTTTTATTTATAAAGCTCAATGTCCCATAATATAGGAAAAATGTTATTATAATACAAGAAAATGGAACTAATTATGTGCAGATTTATTAAATAGATGAGTTAATTTTATTGAGGTCAACTGCTACTAATAATTTGATGGGCAATGGTCTACAAATAGGTCTAATATTTATTGAACAATAGGCTATATTGTGCTCCTTATTCATTGTTGACAAAAATTTCAAAGAAAAATTGCCTATTCTGGCTATTCACATTGCAAGGCCAAAATTATCTACATAATTTCAGTAATAAATAAAATAAACAACTTTACCAATGACAAGTGAGACTAGCTGTGAGAGTCTTTGTGGATATAGTGACAGTCTTTGCAATTTCACATCATGATTAGCCAAAAAAAACAAAAGTTGATGCAATAAAGAATAATAGATTAATTCCTAATTATTTACAAACATGTACCAGTACCTTTTGTATTTATATTGTGAAAAAATATCTATATTTTTATTTCATTTCTGTATATTTTTCTCAGAAGAATGATAACAAACTGCGTAATACCGCGTGCAACCCCCCTGCTAAGAGACTTGGACTAGTACAATAACTGTAAATAACATGAAGTTTCCTGAACAAAATGGCGGAAATTTTAATAAAAAATGTTGATGTTTGATCGTAAAATACAAAAAAACTGCAGGTTTGTGCGAGTTACAACAACTGAATTCGTACTCAGCGTATCAAAATCTATAGATTCATGTAAACTAAAAGTAGACCCCGAATGGGGGCAGCGGAACTGAACGATAAGCGGCCACAGAATACGGCCTACTATTTATTAATAGATTTAGACAAATATGATAGCGATAACAAATTTATTAAAGAACGACGTTTCGAAGTCATCTTGACCTCATTTTCAAGTTCAAATTATAACAGAAAACGAAAGCAAACTAATTCGTCATACATGACAGTTGCAATTTTAAACTTAATTAACATAATTAGAATAATTAAACATGCAAATTGTAACAAACAATTAAACAAACAATAAAACAACACTAGACGAACAATTATGCTAATATAGAATGTTAAGTAAATAGTTTTGAGCGTATCGAGTCCAATTGTTTGTTTAAACTAGGTTTAAGATCTTTAATAAATAACATTTCATGGAGTAAACACTCGAACTTTCCCCGACATTTTCTCAATACCTTAAAGTTTTTCCCGATGTTCTTTGCGTCCTCGCCATGCTGTTGAACCATATGTTCTCCGACAACCGATGAATTGTGTTCATCAATGCGTTGATGTAAGTGTCGGCAAGTGTAACCGACATAATCTGCGTCGCACAGATCACATTTGAATAAACAAACAACACATTGCTGATTCACAAGGGGTGGTTTCGTTTCTGCTGCTGGGAAGTCTGCGGCAATCTTTCTGCTTGTGTAGACCGGTTGCATTTGTCTACCGATGGTCTTGCTGAGGTTACGCAGCTGTCGCCTCACCGAGTCTGCTGATTTCTGGTCTTTAAATGGTAGCATTACACGTACCACGTTTTCTTTGATGTTTCTTTCCTCGGCTGGATGATCGTCGCTTTCGCGTTTTTGTTCAGTGTACTTCGTTATGATGTTGTCAAGCAGGGATATAGGATATCTGAGACGAACGAAGGTTTTCTTCAGGTGTTCACATTCCTCGGTGAAGAGCTTCCACGATGATGATAGGCGGAATGCACGATTGAGCATGGTCAGGACGAGCGATTTCTTACACCTCACGTCTACAGGACTATCATAATGTAACATAAGGGCAGTGTTTGTTGGCTTGATGTAGACTTTCGTTTCTACTCGACCGTTCTTATTAATTAGGGTTGTGCCCAAGAAAGGTAATACACCATCGGTCTCTAATTCCATAGTGAACTGAAGGGATGGATGCAGACTGTTGAGGGTGGATAGGAATGCTTCTGCGGAAGCAATGTTGCTTTGCGATGTGATGGAATCATCAACAAACCGATGGTATAAGGAAGGCATCAGGTTGCGTTCTACCAGCTTTTCCACAATTGAACACATGAACGCGTTCGCCATGAGTGGACCAAGTGGGTAGCCCATTGCAACTCCGTCGACTTGCTCGTATAACTTACCGTCGATTTGGAATAGCTGATGTTTAACTGCTAACTTCAAGAGTTCGACAAGTTCAAATTTCTCAAGCTTTAGGTTGTATTTCCAGTTGAACCATTCTTTCTCAAACGCTTTGTCGGCAAGAATTTGGATCGTTTCAACAACTGGTACATTGGTGAAAAGCGATGCAACTTCATACGATACTAGAATGTCACTCTCAGCCATTTGTTTCTCGCGTATCTCCACAGCAAACTATAGTGGGTCGGAAACGGTGTACTTGTTAATCGAAAGGAATTTCAATTTCTCATCCAACCACTTGGCTAGCTTGAAGTTGTAAGTTCCCGTTGCTGATAGTATTGGTCGCATTGCTAGCTGAGGTTTATGTGTCTTAGGTAAACCGTAAAGGTGTGCGAGGCGGGAACCTTTTTGGCAAATTGAGTCAGCTATTTCTTTGGGTAGGATCTTTCTAACGGCGGTCTCGAGCTCTTTTTCTTTTCTAAGTAGGGGGTGGTAATGTTTGACAGGTCTTCCTCTCGACTTTGGTCTTTCCAAACTCACGCTCTTGAACTTTTCCGTGTTGTTGATCGATGCTTCGTTTAGCAACTTGGTGTATTCGGACTTATCCATTACGACAATCTCTGTTCCTTTATCTGGTTTAGTGATAACGATATCGTCTCGTTTCTTAAGTTGGTTTATCGATCGAAGCAACGTCTTTGGCGGTGATGTATTTCTCCGTTCAATATAGTTCAGAGCAATTGATCGTAACGTTGCTACAGTTAGTTCTTTCTTATCCTCATCTAGGTTGTGCTCAAGTGTTCGGTACGCACGTTCAAAGGATGCTTGTATATCCTTCGCTGACACAGGTCTAGGACGATCATCCAGCGACGATCATCCAGCCGAGGAAAGAAACATCAAAGAAAACGTGGTACATGTAATGCTACCATTTAAAGACCAGAAATCAGCAGACTCGGTGAGGCGACAGTTGCGTAACCTCAGTAAGACCATCGGTAGACAAATACAACCGGTCTACACAAGCAGAAAGATTGCCGCAGACTTCCCAGCAGCAGGAACGAAACCACCCCTTGTGAATCAGCAATGTGTTGTTTATTTATTCAAATGTGATCTGTGCGACGCAGATTATGTCGGTTACACTTGCCGACACTTACATCAACGCATTGATGAACACAAGTCATCGGTTGTCGGAGAACATATGGTTCAACAGCATGGCGAGGACGCAAAGAACATCGGAAAAAATTTTAAGGTATTGAGAAAATGTCGGGGAAAGTTCGAGTGTTTACTCTATGAAATGATAGATAGATAGATAGATTTAATAAGAAAACACATTGCAGCCGAATACGACTGGATTGCGTGTTACTTTACAACAATGGTAATTATGAGAACAAAGTTTATCTAAAAAAGTATATAAAAGAACGTTACAAATATGTTAAAGTGTGTAACTCAGAAAATAAATTATGTATTTACAAAGTTAAAACTACGAAGATTAGGCTTAAGAGAATTCTTTAATACAAGAAGGAATAAATGTTTTTAAAAATCTATCAGTTTTAATCACTGGTGTTTGGAAGACACGTATACTACGCAAGTCATTGGTGATAGGTGGACGTGCAGGAAACAAATTCGACAACTTGTGTGCAGGGTCCTTAGTTATCTGATTGTATAGTTTGGAGCAGGCATGCCTTCGACGATCGCTTAAGAGTGTCAAGTTAGCTTTGTCCAAACGCTCGCTGTAAGACAAACCGGGAAAGATTATGGATGTAACTCTTCTCTGGACTCGTTCTATGTTATCACTGAGATACTTAGGCAGAGCAAAGTGAAATACCTCACAAGCGTACTCCAGAATCGGTCTGACACAGCAACAATAAAAGTTTAGAATTTCTTTGGCTGGTATTTTAGCTCGTTTTAATTGGACTATGAAGAAGATTCTCTTGTTGGCTTTCTTTATTATGTTTAGGACATGCGTAGACCATCTTAAATCATCACTAACCGTATCACCTAGAATTTTAGCTTGGCGAACCAGGTTTGGACACCCCGCAAGAAGATGGACTATATTATCAAAGGATACTCTATTTCTGTGGAATTGAAACAAAAGCTCTTTGCATTTTTGGACATTCAATTGGAATTTGTTCTGCGAGTTCCACATTTCAAGTTCGTTAGCTCCAGATTGGATTTGGCTGGTTCCGTTTCTTGGGATAGTTTCCGAGACTGTTGTATCATCGATGTATTTCCAGTGGGTGATGTCCATAAGCTTCAAATCGTTTATCATGAGAATAAACAACCAAGGTCCCAACTTTGTGCCCTGTGGGACGCCACTAGGGACATTACCCCACTCAGAAACACAGTCCCTTGCAAGTTTCACGCGCTGTTTCCGACCACACAAAAAGCTAATAAGCCAATTTATGATATAGATTGGGATGGGCAGTTGGCGAATTTTGTTGATCAAGATTGAGTGATCATTAAGATCAAAAGCCTTCCTGTAATCGACCAGAAGGACTCGCACGGAATTTCCAGTACCATCGGTTGCTTTAGCCCAGTTGTGCAACATACCAATAAGGGCAATAGTTGAAGATGACCTTGGTATTCCTCCGAACTGGTGAGAGTGGATGCATTTCAGGATGGCAGGGGCGACAAACTTTTCAATGACAAATTCTTCAGCCAGTTTTGAGAGACAACAAGTAAGAGATATGGGTCTTAAGTGTTTATTAATGTGGCATACAACCTTTTCCTTTGGAATTGGGATAATGTTCGACAACTTCCATAAGCTTGGTAATAATTGATGGCGGAGTGAACAGTTGATCAAGCTAGAGATTGGGCATGCCAAAATCTCGGCATATTCCTTGTATACAAAATTCGGAACTTCATCAGGACCTGGTGCTTTAGAGGTACTTAGTAATTTAAGTTTATTATATGTTTCCCACGGTGTAGTGATGTCAAGAGGTGGATCAGACATACTATTGATTTGGTCGTCATTAGGGTTGAAAGGATCAAATTCCTGCATGGGTTCTAGAAAGGCGTTGTTAATAGCATTAGCCAAATCGGCCAAGGGCAGGTGTTCTAAGTTTTCTGATTGGATACAATCCTGGAGGCTTGAATGTGAAACCATTCCACTAATGCATTTTACTTCGCGCCACCAGTGTTTCGGGTTAGATTGTTTTAAATTATCTACTTTTGTCTTATAATAATTAGCCTTGCAACTTTTCCTTTTCCTATTAACCCTATTTCGATAGAATTTGAAGAGGGTGTCATTCCTGAAGAAAAAGGCACGCTGTCGAAGTTCTATGAGACGATGCAGATCCTCGTTGATCCACGGGTGGTCGTTGGAATGAACCAAAAGGCGTTTTTCAGGCAATATATAGAATAATCCAAAGGATAGCACATCGGTGAACAGTTGGTTTTTCACCTCAACGGATTTGGGTGAGTCAAGGAAAGACCAGTCAATTTCGCTTAAATACATGTTCGCCTAAATAAATGTTATTTATTAAAGATCTTAAACCTAGTTTAAACAAACAATCGGACTCGATACGCTCAAAACTATTTACTTAACATTCTATATTAGCATAATTGTTCGTCTAGTGTTGTTTTATTGTTTGTTTAATTGTTTGTTATCAATTTGCATGTTTAATTTTCTAATTATGTTAATTAAGTTTAAAATTGCAAATGTCATGTATGACGAATTAATTTGCTTGCGCAATTATGTAAACGCTATTTATATTAATTTAATCGTTTTCTGTTATAATTTGAACTTGAAAATGAGGTCAAGATGACTTCGAAACGTCGTTCTTTAATAAATTTGTTATCGCTATCATATTTGTCTAAATCTATATCAAAAATATTTATTAATAGTTCAATATCTGCAGTCTTCGATTTTGTTTACAATGTAAATAAACTTAAACACATGACGTCATAGACAGGACAAAAGCTGCAGTAAATATACTGAAATATTCTTCACAGTATTGAACTAACTGGGCTGCACGCACGCACGCACGCACGCACGCACGCACGCACGCACGCACGCACGCAAGCAAGCAAGCACGCACGTACGAACAAACAAACAAACAAACAAACAAGCATCAAAAATGAAAATAGGTAATAAGAGTGAAATAAAATTAAGAAAACCTACAAAGCAGGGACCGCGGAGCCTGTTTAAAAGTGAGGGGCAGGATAGCACGGGAGCAATGCCACGCAGGCAGGCTGGATTTTATCCGGTAATTTTTTATCCAGGGGCTCCACGGTTCCTGCAAAGCAACGTTTGACAGAGAATTTGGCTGAAAAATCGACGACTGAATTAATTTAACCTGTAGTCATTGTTTAGACAACAATTTAATTATTGCAAGGTGACTATAACCTACGGTTAACAATTTATTCACCGAAGTGAGGTGAATATGGTGCAAGTAACGAAAGTATTTTTACTTTTAGTGAAAGTATAACAAAAATATTTTAATTTTGAAAATAATTTGCGTTGTAAAAAAGGAAACAGTATTTACATGTTTTTAGTAATTTTATTCATTAGAAATACCTCCAAAGAATACCTATAAACACTGTTTACGTTAAACACCGTATACGTTGTGGCTTTCTTAATTTAATGTTTGGCGAAACCGCAGCCGATCGTTTAGTAAAAAAATGTGCTTACATTTAGTGTTTTCGTCCGTGTATCCGATTTTCCACGATATAAAACGGAATTTCCTCACATTTTCGCCACAAATAAATGTAAAATACTCGATAAAACCAGATAGATTTTGTTGGTTTAATATCCGGATAAAACTCAAATTTCCCTCATTAGCAAGCTTAAATTTATCCCTTTCGTTTTCCTGAACTTTTCTTTCAATGTCCGCTCTATTCTTACGCCTGGGAAAAGGATAGCAAGGCAATTGAAAAGTTCATCATTGATTTTGTATGCAATACGCATAGCTCTGTTTTAAGATGCATGGTGCATACTGATCTCAAAAGGGACAAAAATAGTTGAACGAGCAAGAACGAGCAACATTTGAAATGACTTTCACTTAATCAAATGAACTGTGAAGCATTCTTTTTTGAAGAAATGATTTATTACGGGAAATCGTGAAATATTAACCAAGTTTATTTTGATTGCTTATGTCATTCCTTCTGTTTAATTTTTTCCAATATAAATGGTTTTACAGTATATGCCGAATTTAAATGTAGATGCAAGTATGTAAGTTTTTAAATTACCCACGAGAGGTAGAAAGGTGAAGATGTGGTGCATGCATCAGTGGTGTAGATGGGATTTTTGGTCAGGTAGGGGGAGGGGCAGCAAAAATCTATGTGGGGCCAGGCTTCACTTATTTTTATAAAATAAATTTTCTCAGGGGGGCCAAAATTTTGCCAGGGCGGAAGGCGGGCCCCCTGATCCCCGCCCTGGATACGCATCACGCATGCATGTGTTTCTAGTTGACATTTTTAGGCATTACACTCTTACCGTTGTAAACGATGTGTAATGAATAGGAGTCTCAATGTTGTAAATCAGAACCAATATCACATCAAAATGAATGATATATGCAGCATAATTTATGCGACTTAAGGGAATCCAGAATTTTGCAGCAAGGATGTCCTTTACCAAACCTAGAACAGAGATAAGATATTGTTATAGCCTGATAAAGGGAAAATAGTGGCATGGGTAGCTTATTTACAGGCAGCGAAATCCACTGAAGTGCAGCTTCCCATTCGCGCGTGCGCTTGTTAACAACGGTTTTGAAAAGTACTACGATGTAGCCTGCGTAGCGGCTCTCAGAGAAAGGAGAGCCTGCACGAGATCTATTGTTTTGCCACTGCCGCCCACTTAGCCTGCGGGCTACGCCCACTTTCAACAGATGTCAAAATTGGCCAATCACACAGATTGTTTACGTTTGCAAATTTACTTCATTACTTGTCAAAATGAAATAATATAGATTGCTTTACGTTCGCAAATTTCAAAACGAAATAATATACGGATGTCGGCTAAAGAAAATTGAAGTCTGTAGGAATAGCGCTAGAGCAGACTCCATCGTCGTCACAAGTAGTTTGCAGTCCGTGTGCGAGAAAGCTGCGAAATCCCATGGATACGTACAAATTAGTTTCGACAGCGGTCAACCGTGATGTAAATGTCAAAGTTTCGAGCGATGCAGGGAAGAGAAAGGTGTCTGAAGCCGTCATTCCGGAGAGAGCAAGTCCTGTTCGTAAGCATTCACAGCAATTTTCTCCTGGCACAAAATTATTAGCTACAAAATCATTGAGAAAAAATCTAATTGTCGTCGATTAAAACGAACACGCTCGTGAAAGAGCCGTGGCTAACAGACAGCAATCCAACTTAAGCAATTCCTGTTTAATTGCTTGTGAATTCGTAGAGGTAAAAGGTTGCATCAAGAACAAGAAATATACTTGTTTTCTAAGTTGAAGTAATATTATCAGGCAAGAAAATAAACAAGTTTTGAGTATGAATAAATTAACCGTCAAAAAGATTATTTTATGGAACCATGCTAAGATACCTCCCGCAGGCTCGTATTTTTTCATTGAGCAAGATAATACAGAGACCAAACGATATAAACTATACCGACAGGTTCGTCAGAATTAAGTGCCGAAAGGGGGCGACACCATTTGCCTTTGATGTTGTTTTTCCTCACTTCCAAATATACAGACGCATTATTAATTTACAAGGAGAATTATCACCAGAGACTTAAATCGAAAACTGTTAAGTTTCGGCCATGCCCTATTATCGCTTAAGACAATTAGATTATTCAATGCACGCGATAAATACACTTTATGATATTGCGAATGGCAGAAAATATACTCGACCAATTGCAATATATCGCATATATTTCAAAAAATCCAATAATTATTTTTTCTTGACATTAATTAAATCAAGGGGCTTGCAAATAAGAATTTTAATTTCAGTTTTATTCTTAGGTTTTAATTTTTGCCTTACTTAAATTTTAGTAGAAATCATAACACCAAATCAAAAGTTGTTTTATTCTTAACAAGTATGCATGCTTTCCAAAATGCTGAACAGTCAGACCTTAATATATATGCCTTTATCTTGGACTGTAGAGAAAAATATTAATTGTTTCTCTTACTTATCATTTGTCATACCCACCTGCGTACTTATAGTGACAAGCAAATATGAGCCAAGCAATGCACAAACCCCAGATGGACCATTTTAGTGACCAAAAAAGAGCTCTTTCTCCTGTTGTCCATACACGAGGATCTTCCTTAATCGAGCTGTATGGAGCATACACATCAGTAAGAGCCAATGCTATTGCCGAAATCCACATTACTGCGACAAATTTCTAGAAGAAGTACAAGGCTCATTCTTGAAAAATACTCACGATGATAGATATAGGCGAGCCAGCCTAGCTACATGAATCACATCATTATCTTACATCATGCATTTTTGCGTGAGACTGATTTAGAGAGTGTGGATTGTCGACAAAAATGATTTTTCACGAAATTTCCAGCCTTAACAATTCTCATCCCGGCCAGGCAAGCCACCTGATGTAATTGGGTTTCCCGAGTGTGGCGGATTAGTTGCTACCATATTATGTGCAATAACAGTTATTACACCTACAGCAATATTTTCTAGAATTATGCGAGTATCTTTTGACCTTGTTCCTCGTTTTGAATCGTGGTAAAGCAAAAATGTTTTATGGTTTGAAAAAGTGTGATCATGCATGGAGATATAAATAAAATGAAAGCTTTTTGTTGAACGCGGATCCTCATACATGTTAGTAGATCGCCGTATGGACATAAATAATATGTATATTGTAAGAGTACATATATACATGTGGTATCATAAATGGCAACGCATGCACTTGATTAGCGGACTACCGATGCACCTGCCGTGCATCACACATCATGTATTCCATCTAAATTGAGTAAATTAATTGCCGAAAAACGGTTCGCATAGTTTTATTTGTTTTACAAATATTAATTTGGTTAAAGTACGTTACAGACTATAGGAACAACGGTTTCCATAAATTATATTTGGTGAATCAAATCAAAAAGTAATCAAGGCAAGACCATTTTTATTAAAACATTCAATATTCAAATATTTAACCATACAGTTATGGTTATGACAATTTTATCAGTGTCAGGGCAAATTAATGGATAAACACGGGTTGGTTGCATTACAGTATACATGAGCTAATTCAAGAAAGATTGTCCTTCGAAATCTCAAACCTTAAACTCTAAGCCCGCAAAGAGTGATGAGAGTGATGAGTTACTTCTTTGTAGGGCTTTTGATTGGGAAAATAATCCTATAGTATACACTGCTAGTTGTACATCTTAAGTGCTTATTATCTGTCTTGCTATAGCTACAATGCAAAATTCGCACGTTTTAGGCTTTAAGTAAGATTAAGTTACCCTTTACACCCTGCGCGCTTAGAGTTTAAGGTTTGAGATTTTTGAAAGACAACCTTTTTTGAAACAGCTGTATAATCCGGCTGATATATAGTAACAATTTAACTTATTAATTCTTAATTAAGCATGCATGTGCAACTGGCATGGGCTGTCGCGACCAATTTTAGCCAGAAATAAATTTCAGGAAGCTTTGGCCACGTCTTGTAATTAAAGGCCCTGTCACATTATCGCGTATGAGAGAAACGTATGAGAAGCGTATCAAAATTAATGAAATAATTTTCATACGCACAAAAATCTTTTGAAATGCCAGCGTATGAGTACCGTACATCTGGCGTACCTTTATAGCGTATTCAGCGTGTGCCTAGAGTATGCTTATCGTATAAAGCATACTTTCGATACGCACAAAATTTTTGAACATGCCTTAAAAATTTTCTGCCTCGCCGTATGCCAGCGTATGCCACAGTATGTGACCGTGCTTGAAACGTATACAACCTATGCCTAACGTACCCCTAGCGTATGTCAACGTATACCGGCGTATGAGTGATATTTTTCATACGCTGGCATACGCTAGTACGATACGCAATAGTGTGACAGGGCCTTAACGTAGCAAATGGGCAAAAACAATTGTACTTCGAGTTCAATAAACAAGATACATGGGGGAAACTGCATGCATTCTTACCCACGCCAATTTAAATTCCTTTGAGAAATGTTTATAAAGAACATAACCAAGCACCATTCCCACTACATATGGAGGAAATCTGCAGTATGGTTTGATGTAAATATTCTTGAAGGGCTCAATGAGATTATGAAAATCCAAAAATTCTTCCAAATGTCTATCATTCCTAAAAAAACTGTTTAAAGAATCGCAATTATTAGCGTGCGAAAACAGCCGCTACTTTGCTGCTCCTATTGATAAAGACGTTTTATTAATAGGAGCAGCAAAGTAGCGGCTGTTTGCGCAGGCTACGGCCTACGCAGTTATATAATGCGTGTTCACAACCTATTAATTGCAGTGAGTTAGTTTAACTCCCTGTAGAATTATTTTGTACCGAATTTAACTCCAAATGTGGAGGGCGCGATTTTTTAATAAAGCGATCTGAATTCGGTAGGGCAAAACGAACTGAATTATAATGTTATAGATTATAATCTCATGCAATGTATAATCTCTAATATCAATGTCTGTTTATATATCAAAGGCAGATAAAACTAAATATAGGCAAGACGAACTTGGCAAAAGAACTGCCAATGTCAACTGTACCTATTGGTGTCTCGGTCGTCTCTCGTTTGTGCGTATTATTAACTTACTTGCGTTGTGTATTGGCGTCTCAAAGGCAATCGAGAACAGTATATAAGCGGAGGTTCTTTCAATGGATAAGTTCTGAATAATGACGGACGTCGACGATTCACGCAATAGTTTCAAAGATATATTTACTTAATTACAATTTGTAACTCCCATAACGCGAGCCAGTTCAAGACTATATATACATTGTCAAATTAAACATAAAAGTTTTTAAGAGTTTTGTCCCATGAGTACAAGACCTTGTTTTCTTACCCAACCATTAATTCAAAGCAATTAGAGCTGTCAAGTTACTACAATACGTTATAGCTAATTTGAATTTGAAAGGGTTCAGTTTTTTTTTATACACCCTGTATACTGTATATATATGATCATACTAAAGTCACTAGTGTTTTAGCGTCTGTCGCTATTTTACGACATCCTCCGGGGGGGGCACAACAATGATGATGTCCCGTCTTTAATTTTCTTCTTTGCTGCTGCTGCTACTGCTGCTGATCATTTCTCTCTCTGTGGCGGGTTCTCGGATGACTGATCTTTCTTGTCACTTGGTTCGTCAGTTGTGGGACAAATACCAAAGGATGTTGTAGCTCTAACCTCTAATGATACAGTTTGGCAATTACGTGTTTAGGCTCAGGTATGTTAGTTGGGTTGTTTGTTGATTCGCTGGTGAAGGTGGAGATCAGAGGAGGTCGGACAAGCAGGCCGCAAAGCATCATGGGTTTGAGCGCCTAATTCCAGGCGTGGCTTCAATGACTCTTTGACTGTCGTTGAGTGAACATCTCTCTGAGTAAACAAACATGCAAGCATTCGAAAGACAAGATTGTCAGGCTGCAATACTTCGTGAAAATAGCATGTTATTGCTGTATCGTTGCGATCTTCATTATGACGTGAGTTACTATACCAAGTTTACCTTATATTAAATTGCATGGGACGTGCTGTCTTTTTATAGCTTTATAAATAATCCGCGAAGGAATTGTGTTATTTCCAATAGCAAGGCTGTTCTTTCTAAGTTGGATGGGATCTCCGTGTATCATCAACGTGAAAACAAGCGCAGTATTTAAAGTTGGTATCCTACAATGCAATACAGTTGACTTGTTTCAAATTTCCGCTTTGCTGATTTCAATATTGTACTGTAATTTTATAAATACACTGTACAAATTATGGAGTAATATTTCAAATATTAAATTCAACCCTTTAGTTTGACCCTATTCCTGATGAGCTTGCTAATGAAAACATCCAGCATATGCTTTTGGATTTCGATCATATAGTGACAGCGAATACAATTGATAATGGACATTGGTTTTCAGATGAGTCTGAAGGCATTGTTATTTGTATATGTATTTTATAAATTTTTGCTGAGTATGATGCCTGTTTGTATCTAGTTGTGGATGGTTGTTTAAATGTGCAAACTGTAGTTTAATATTTTTCAATTTTCATCTAAATATTGTTTGTGTGTTGTTCTATTACACAGACCTAGGTATTTAAGGTTGGTATCCTACAATGCAACACAGTTAGGTATATTAAGAATTTAGAGGTTACATGTGCTTTTGTGTAAGATTGCTAATTTTAGAGATGACGGTGCATGAAATAATAATTTTCTTGTTATGATTTTGTAGAAAGAGATTTACTTGAGTTGTTGGCTGGTCTTGAGCCTGTTCAGGAAGGATATGGTAATGAAAGAGTTGATCAAGGTGATAGGGTAGAAAGTGGTGACAAGTTAATTAAGTGATGAGGAGGAAGAAGAAATCAACCAAGCTGTACCATTCAAGTGCATCTGTGGGAAAAGTCATACCTCACTCTTCACGAACAAGATAAACCAGTGAATGTAAGAATACGGCCAGAGCCATTGAATCCAAGGACCCAAGTGCAATAGGAATTGATCTAGACTATGGAACTGTATGGCTCCATGTTGGTTATACATTGCTTCTGAACTATGCAAGTATCCGAACTATGCAAGTTGCTGCAAGAGATGTCGTGGATGTCTATGTTCAGCATATCAAGTATAGGGTTGACTTAGTTGGTTAGTGCATGGGAGACTCAAGTGGTAGGAAAAGCATGAGTGTACGTTGACAGATGTTTTTTTATATAAATAATAGCAACTAAATATGTTTAGCAAGTTATTGAAGTGCATTTATTTCAATTGGCTAACTTTTTAGATTTTTTCCAGCATTTTTTAATTAAACAAACCACGGAACCTTTAAAACCCGACGGATTATAAATGATAACTTTCTATATCTAATTAAAACAATCTGTCATGTACACTCATGCAAAATAGGTACATAACTGTAAAAATGTGCTTTAGTAAATAAATGAGTAATTTATCCATGCCCTTGACCTACTTTGTTTGTAATTTTTTCAGATTAAAATTAATGCAACAATAAAACAAGAAGATGTCTATTTATATAATTGCACAGGTCAATTCCTGGAGTAACCATCCCCCGGGACACCCCTGGGAATTTGCCTAATAGACAGTTCACAGGGGTCGGGAATTTACCTGTCATATACGTACAGGGCACGTGTACAGGGGCCGGGTATTGGGTGGGGATTTGACAAATGGTTTCACTTTTGCAAAACTTATTACCTGTGCCATGCAAATAAAGTTTTATAATATTCCATAACAGCTTAATAGTATAATGTTATTAAATGACTATGCCTATGATATGCATTCATTGTCCCCGGGGTGGGGCATTTTCCACTTTCAGCTTGCCCAAGGGCCGTGCATTAGTCTCCTACTCCTAGTTGTGTCCCGGCACACTTCTTCTATTAACTGTGCACTATCGTAACCAGTCAAATCAAATGCCCAGGTGTGTTCCCGGGGGGAGGGGTGATGGTTACTCCTGGAATTGACTCGTGCATAATATTTATTAAATTTCAATAAATTGACCACAATACAAATACAATAAAAATACAATAAAAACTTGTTTTATTGTTTTAAAACAAGTGGAGCTCTCTGCTGGTTTGAAATGGGCTGTTATAACACTGAGTTGTCCATGCTGAGGATTCCGCAGCTCGATTTGCAACAAAAACATCAGGATCAGGCGATCAGCTCGTATGGGAATATGTACACGATCCAGTCGCGTCGGCCAAAGACAGAAAAAACTTTGAAAATCGCACAGATATAAATTCTACAAAAATATTGAAACAACTCCTAAGTCTTCTAAATAATATTTTAACACTTTAACAAAAAATCATTGAAAATATAATCTTTGATGGCGCAAATTCTTTCCAAGGTATTAGACGCCATTTTAGCGAGCGTCGAGTTGACAATAGTCGCTTCAATGGCCAATATCTCGAAAACTGCCGGGGGATCACCGGGATCATTCCAGCAGATTTAAAGCTTCTATATTTTTATTGATGGCTGCCAAAAGTGAGGAAAATCGAACCATGGGAATTCTAGATATTTCATTTTAAACATTGTAAACATATTTAGACTTGAGTCAACACGTCGCGGGGAGTGGTCTAACTTCAAACATCAAAATAACATTGAAAATAACGTTTACCTTAGAGATTTTTGCAGATATCACCAGATCTTTAGCAGTAGTACTATTACACATGAAATTTTGCAAGAAAATTTTAATATTAATGTTTTTTCTCGATTTATTTTCCGTCGAATACAAATTTTTCTGCCCAAATTCTGCAGAAAACACGATGGAAAATAGAGCGATCTCATTGGTCGAGAGCTCACGTGACAACTCGCTAATTGCTTGTCCGACCTCCTCTGGTCAGGCTGCGATATTTTGTGAAAACAGCATGTTGCGATCATCATTATGACTTGTGTTTTACTATATCAAGTTTACCTTTTTTTAAATTGCATGGGACGTGCTGTAATTTTAGCTTTATAAAGACCATAAATAATACGTCTTAGAAAAGGAATTGTGTTTAATTTAATATATTCCCAATAGCGAGGCTCTTCTTTCTAAGTTGGATGGCGTTAAATCTCCGTGTATCATGAACGTGAAAACAAGCGCAGTATTTAAGGTTGGTATACTACAATGCATTACAGTTATCGTGTTATTTTATAGTCAAATTTCCGCTTTGTTGTTTTTATTCTTGTACTTTTTGTGTTTATAATGCCTCTAGTTTGACCCTATTGTGTTTGTATATGTACTGTGTCACTGTGATACATATGTACACGTTTTGAGTTAATTAAACGAATGCCTGTTTGTATGGATAGATTTTTACATATATGTGCATACAGTATAGTTATATTTTTCAATTTTCATCTGTAAAATAATATTTGTGTATTGTTCTAATATTACTGTAAATAGTGACACACTTTTGCATTAGATTGCTAATTTTAGAGATTACAGTGTATGTATAAAATAATAAAATTTCTTGTTATGATTTTGTAGAAAGAGATCTACTTGAGTGGTTCAGTGGTTGGCTGGTCTTGAACCTGGTCAGGATGGATATGGTAATGAGGTGATAGGGCAGAAAGTGGTGACCAGTTAAGTGATCAGGATGAAAGTGACGAGGACGAAATCACCCATGCTGTGCCATTCAAGTGCATTGGTGCTGTTCATGAGAAACATTACTAACATCATTTGTAACAGGCATGCCTTGCTATTCATGGACAAGATAAACCAGTGAATGTAAGAATATGGCCAAAGCCATTGAATCCAATGGACCCAAGTGCAATAGCAATTGATGTAGACTATGGAACTGGATGGACATATGTGATGTTGGCTATATTATTTGCACCCACTAATTGCTGCACGAGATATCTTAGAGGTCTATGTTCAGCATATAAAGTATAGGGTTGACTTTTTTAAAATAGGATTTTATTCAAAAATTTTCATAAAGCGATGTGGTGAGTGGGAGACTCAAGTGGTAAGGAGGG